CCAGTTCCACATCGAGTCGTTGAAGATCTGGTCAGAAGAGGCTGGCCATAACAAGCTCATTCCATTCCGAGTTCTCGACACGGAAAGAAAGTGACGTTAGCCTCCCACGGAGGGGCACAAAGGCCTCGAGGAGCATTGCTGCACGAACCAGGTCAAGTGTGAATAGTCGGTTCAACGTGGGTCGTCAGTCAGTGCAGCCAGGTTCAGACGAGCAAAAATGTGACGGAGAACAGCGTGCACTTTGCCCTTACAATAGAAATTCATGATTTCGTGCGCGACAGAATCAACATCTCACGCGAATAAGATGCGCGCGTGCAGTGACAACTTTGGTGATGTGAATCAAGCAATGGGGACTGGAAGAACCAGTGCTTGTGTAGTCAAATTGTGGCACACCGACGTCCATGCCCAACTTCCGAGTGCAAGTGCCAGTTCCAATGCCGACGGTCACGGCATGGAAATCAAGTTTCGATCTGGAGGAATACACTCCAAGCGGCAGATGCCAGCCGCGCACGACCAGTTCGACGGCAATGTACCATGCACGACACGTATTGCGCAGTGCTGCAAGGGTTGGCGCCACAGGAGACTGAATCGCGTCGGGGTGACTGAGCGGCGTGAAGAACTGTTTGCCATCGTGGACGAGATGTTCGGCAACCAGGCGCAGTATATCAACGGGTAAGTTGACCATGTTGGGCCGCGCGTTGCAGACTGTGGCAAATGGTACTAGAGTTGCGGAAGGGCATGGCCGGTGGTACTTCTGCTGCTGTCGCGATGACGACGAGGATAGTGCGGTCGCAGGTCATAGCTCATTCGTTGGCGCGGGAAAAAAAGACGCAGAGTCCAATTCGAAGGTGGTGAGTGCTAAGAGAGCCATTTTGCGTTGGCAAGACCACAGTATGCGGTGAGTCCTTAGAAAAACTCAAAAAAATCAGCGTGCAATCCTAGCAGCATACAGGGCTCTGCTGTCTCTACAGAAATCAAGCAAAGCGCGGCAAAATGCCAAAAACAAGAGCCCTCTGGACAAGAAAGGATGACACAACCTGATTTGACGCGACACGGCACAACACGACACGACGCGACACGACGCGACCTCACGTCGTTTCACTCCATACTACAAACATCCTCACACCACGCCCTCAGCGCCACACGGGCACTGAAGACCGGTTGCGCCGCGACGCGGCCGACCCCGTCGACGACACTGATGACCGCCGGGATAGTACCGCGGCCGACGGTGGCATCGCCATACTGCTGGTGCGCGAATTGGGAGGGGTTGCGGCGCGCACGACCACGGGCCCCGTAGGCCGGAACGGCGGGTTCCCCAAGGATCCCGTCACGACCATAGACACGGGCCGGCGCACGGGGCGCACACCGATCCCGCCGGCGCGAGCCAATGGCGGTGTATCTGGCCGCGACGTCGAAAAGGTGGGCGTGGTCGGGCGCGACCGCGCGCGCGAGTGCGGTGGTGGCACGGCGAGAGTGGACCAGGATGAGGTCGATGAGGAAGGGGATGACGGGGACGGGCGCTGAATAGACCCGGCACCCCGAGCGACGACATCGCCGTCCGCATCCGACTTGGCGCCGGTCTCTGGTGCCGGGGACGACGGCGCCGCAGGGAGCGGTTTCCCGCCGGCGACGGGCGTGACGGGCGGCGTGACCGGGTCGGTGCCGTCGGTCGCGTTCTTGTTGAGCGCGCGCGACAGCTCGGCCTCGACGCGGTCGAGCACGTGCTCAATGACGGTACGAATCGAAGTGCAGTCGCCGCGCAAAACCACGTCCGAGACGGACGCGACCAGGTCCGTGTCGGGCAGCGATGCCATGGACGCGCGCAGCACGCGTTGACGTGATACGGCCACAGCAATCGCGGCCGTCGTGGCTGGGTCGAGGACCAGGTCAGTCGATGTCGACGACGTAGACGCGGCAGCTGTCGGCGACTTGGGCGGAAGAGGCGGCGGAACTGGTGATTGCGGGGTCGGCGGTGGGGGCGGAGGGACAAGAGGGGACATGGGCGGCTCCGGGAAGACTGTGGCCGAGGGTGGCATGACGGGTAACGGGGGCATGGGTGGAATCGGCTCGCCGAGCGCCGACGCGGCGGGCGGCGCATACAAATGGAGCAAGTGGCCAGGGCGCAGCGTGAGAGGGGGCACGGCGCCGAGTGACCGTGCGCGGCGGTGCCGGGACACGGCCGTGGGCAACGGCGATGGCGGCGGGCGGATGGGGCGGAGCGACGGCGACGTCTGCACCGACGCTGACGGTTTCGACTCGGCGGTTACTTCGTTCGTATCGTCATCGTCCGTATCGTTCCCGTTTTCAGACCGAGTCGAGGCCGACGAGCTGTCGAACAGAACCTCCACCTTGGGCAACTCCGTTCCGACGCCGTCCTCCTTGCCATCCGCGCGTGCATGCTCGCTGCCGCCACGGCCGCGGCCCGAGACAAATGTCGACGACGACTCGGTCGGCGACGCCGGCGTCGGACTCGTGCACGACCGGTCCTCGGCCTCCTCACCAATCGTCGACAAATCGCCCTTGCCCTCCACCACCTTGCTCTTCTCGTCGTCGTCGCCCATGGCCTGCTTGAGCTCATCAGCACGCGCGCGGCCCGGCACGGGCGACGCGGCCGTGACCCGCTCCGCGGCCCCAACGGGCAACTCGGCTACGAGCGCATCCTGGAGCGCCTGCATATCGCGCATCTGGTCTAGCACGCCGCGCAACACCGCGCGCATTTGCGTGAGTTCGCGCTTGAGTTCGGCCTCTTGCGCGACCTCGGACCGCAGCAAGTCGCGCAACGTGGTCATTTCCTCGTTGAGCGCCTGCACGTCGTGCGCAGCAAGCAGCGCGCGCGGTGGGGCCGCCGGACCCGTCCATGCACCACCATCGAAATGCACGTGCTGCTGCTGATGCCTCCGCATCGACCGGTTCGACGCACGCCGCGTAAGCTGTGGTGGCGCGCCGACCACCGACGCGACCGAGGCCCGCCGGTGCCGGCTACTGCTGCTCACCGTCTGGTCATTGCCGCCCGTAGTTGTCGTAGTCGTCGTCGTCGTCGTCGTCGTCTGCGCGGCACCGTACCCAAACGCCGAAAAGAACCCGCGCGCAAACTGCATGTAACCAGGCGGACTCGAGGGCGCGTCGCCCGTGACCGACGCGCGGCGCGAGTTTGGGCTGGACATGGGTGGCGACGACGCAGCAGCGGCTACCGGTGCGTGCCGCGACCCTTGTGCCCAGTCGGTCGGCGGGACACTGCGCGTCGGCATTTCTGGGACCCACCGGCGCGTGCGGCGCGACGTGGTGCGCCGGCGTGTCGACGGCCCAGGGGCACTAGAGCTCACGTCCGACTCGGAGCCGCTCGAGCTACTCGCCCACGCGCCACCATCATCCGACGCGGACGCGAGATCGTCGTCGGACACGAGATAATCGTCATCGTCCGTCCTCGCGCGCGCCGGATCGTCGCCGTACGCGTGCATCCCGTACGGCAAGTGCGGCCACGGTACGGGCACCGTATGGTCGTGGTCGTACTGCGGGTGCCAGTCGCTACTATCCGTGCCTCGTTCATCCTCGTCATGTCCAAACGACGCGCGCCTCCTGGAGAACCGGAACGCCGCGTCGCGCCCACCGCGATGTCGTTTTCCATAGTGCAGTGGCGGCACACCGCGCCCGTCGCCCGGGTGCGCGGGCGCGCGGAACCGGTCGAGCGCTGGCGCGAGCGGTGGCGACGCGCGCGCGACGCGACGGACCGCGGCGGTGCGGTGCCGGTGCCGCCGCCGGTGCGCAGACCGCGCGCGCGCCTCGGCAATCGCCACGGTCCAGACATCGCTGTCTGACTCGTCGTACGCGTGAGCGGCGCGGTGTGGCGCCACGAGGTGTGGCCGCACGCGTGAAGGGGGCGGGCCGAGCGCGGCGGCGAGAACGGTGCGCGTGACGTGCGCGAGCTCGCGGCGCAAGTGGCGACGGTAGAGCGCGTGCAAGTGCCGCGAGATCAGGAACGAGACGACGCCTGGGGTTGGCGAGGAACGGAACGGAACGACACGGTCAGCGCCTGCTCTGGGTCCAAACGAGTCCGCACGCCATGAACCGGCATAGAACAGAAGAAACTGGACGCACCCAGCACGGGCACCGCCGCCATGGCCAGCGCGAGTGCCACGAGCCAGTACCGCCGCTGCACGCGGTGCAGACCGTGCGCGAGCGCGGCTTGCACGGCCGCACCGCCGCCGGCTGCCGATGCGGCAGCGCTCGCGGCAGCGGCGACGGCAGCAAGTGTCGGGTCCGTGGTGGAGCCAGCCGCGCTCGGGGTGCCAAACAGCAGCGACCATAGCAGTGCGGCTTTACTGGCGCTGCTCAGGCCGGCCGCGCCGCCAGAGCCGGCGGGCGGCGTCGCCATGAGTCGTCGTCGTCAGTCGGCGCGTTCACGGCGTAGAATCGGCAGTTGGAGCGACTTGTCGGCAGCGGCCACTTTGCCGCATGGGCGGGCGGCTGGGGCGCAGCAGTGTCGTTGGCTCGTGCCGCGATGGTGCAGCGGGTCGACAGCGTGAACGGACGCGGAGAGAGCGCGGCAGCGCGCCCGAGAGTCGCGAGCAACCGTGTCGCCCTTGCTGCGGTCGTCGTGGTTGTCGTGTTCGAGGACGGAGGCAGGATGGAGCGCGCTCGTTGGAGTGGATGTTCCATTTCCACAGTCGCCACGGTCTGTGTCTGGCGTTTGGCGTTTCGGCACAAGATGAAAAAACAGAGCCCGGGATTCGTGTGCGTCATGACCGCAAATCCCGGATCGTTGACATCATCGAAGAATTCCAGACCCCAAACCCCGAACCCCTCTTGTGTCGCGGGCTCCATCATGATCCATCGTGATCCATTCAGTCCATCTGCCTCTGCCAATACAGAATCCTGAAAGTACGATCCCGTGTCCCGTCTAGCGGAATCATGGACGACAATCGTTCTTGCCAGACTGCATCCTAATCCGTTTCTCCTGTCTAACAGCGCGGTTGATTATGATTTCAACATTTTCAATTCGAGCATCAGTAGTGTAGTGGTTAACATTCTTCCCTTCCAAGGAAGCGGCCCGGGTTCGAACCCCGGCTGATGCACTTATTGAACGAAGCGTCTTGGGTCAGTAATGTGCGCTTTTCGCTCTAGGCCGAGTCACTTTTGCCACAGGTTCTTTTCCCTCCTTGCCGCTTTCAGTTTTCCACGCACAAAAAGCAGCCAACACCTCCCCAACGTCGCTCCTTTTTCTTCTTCTCTCTGGAAAACCGGCGCAACGTCCTGCACCCTTTGGCTCTGGCCCTGCCACGCACGCGCTGCACGCTTGACCGTCCTTTGTGTGCCTGGTCCGTGCATGCTTCTTTCACAGTGTCGTCGCCGTCGTCGTCGCGACCACGCTCTGCTTTCGACCATCGTCCCCGCAGCACGACCGCGCAGCAGCGACCACCGCATGATCTCGACGACGCCCGACGACCTCTCCCTCACCAACTGACCCGCTCACTTGTTCTGTGGCCACGATGGATCCCCCTGGCACTGCGCCATCCAACCCGCTGCACCGTCTCTGCATCCGACCACTTCTGCCAAATATCATGGCGACGCCGATCCAGCCTGCGTGAGTCGCCACACCACCAACCAACGGCTGTGCCGCAGCTGTGCCGCACCGTCTCGCTCTCCGCTCTTGTCGCCACCAAGCACGGTCCCTGCACGCCATGAAGAACGAGTTTGTCGTTTTGCAGGTAGACGCGGCGCGCGCCGTGCTTGCCAAGCCAGTGACCCCAAATGAACCCGCCGGTGCGCTCTTGGTGCCCGTCGAGGAACTCCTGGTGGTTCTGGGCATGCCCAAGGAAAATGACCCGCCGCGTGGGCGTGCACGCAACAAGTACAAGAAGCGCGCGTCGTTTACGACGCTCGACCGCGAGATGATGAAGCGCGTGCGCGTCTACATGAAGCGGCTCGCGTACGATTGGCCTAGTTTCGTGATGTGGATGCGGCGATCGCTTGGCTCACGTTTGGATCCGGTGTATTTGGCATGTAGCGAGTACGACGGGTTCGAGACACTCGCCGACCTGCAGCCGCCGCGCAAGCAGACGCTCGATATGGTGGAGCGCGCCGATTTCTTCAAGTATGTGACCGAGGATATGGGGCTCGCCCTCGACAAGGTCCCAGCAAGCCTGCGACCTGAGGTGCGTTTCGTCTCGATCATCTCCACCACATCCAGCCGCCGATACTGATCATTGAGTGGTGCCGCTTTTAGACCGACATCACGGACCTCGTCAAGCCGCTGCCGTTCACACCGCGCACACCCAAGGCCGTGCAAGAAGCCGCCTTGGCCGCGGCCGCTGCTGCCGCCGTCGCTGCATCCGAAGCACGAGCGGCCGCACCGGCTCCCGCCGCCACGCCCACCCCGGCCGCGGCCGCACCTGCCCCACCCACCGCCCCGGCCGCGATCAGCACCAACATGGAACAGGCGACCCTCCCACCGCCCAAGCCGCTCCCGCCCAAGCGCAAGCGCGGCAGACCGCGCAAGGCCGACGTCGAGGCTGCGCGTGCTGCCGAGGCTGCTGCTGCTGCCGCTTCTGCTGCCGCGGCCGCGGCTGCCACCGCACCAGTGCCTGCGCCTGCACCTGCAGTTGCCCCAATGCCGATGTTGTCCGCTCCGCCGATGCCCGACTTGTCGCTGCTGCCGCCCGACCCGAAAAAGCTCAAGCTCGAGCACGTGCAGGTGGATGAGTTGGGCACGCCTGTGACGGGCCAGCCCGCGCTGTTTGTGAATGTGCCGGATGCCTGGGCAGTCGAGGCGGAGCGCACGGCGCTCGAAGTGCGGCTGCGCGAGCTGGCTGCGATGCAGCAGGCGATGCAGCTCGCGCAGGCGTTTACGACGACGCCGCAGTAGGGGTCTGGCGGCGCACCGGGGGCCGTGGCCGAGAAGGGGCAGGGAGGGATCGGGCGTGTGGAGAACGAGTTTTTTTGATGGGGTTTTGATGTCGACGTTGTCGAGTTGGGCCAAGGACAGGGCGCGCGTCCGCGCGCGTCTTTGTGTCGACCTGTTTTATGTGGGGGTCAGGTTAGGGTTAGGGGCTGGCTGCGGTAGGAAGCACAAGGTTCACACTGAACTGAGCCCCACCACAACCGCACACGCGCGCCGGCACGACCGCGACCGCCGCCGCGGCCGCGTGCGACTTCGACGTGGACCGCACCGGCGAACGGCCAACGGCAGCAACGACGGCGGCACCGACGCCGAGCACCGCGGGCCAAGTGCCCGCCGAACCACGCTCGCTCTGCCCGCATTCGCAAGACCTCACCACGCTGTCGGCTTCCACGCCGTCGTCAACCACTCTCAGCAACGGCCCACACGTCGACGCTTTCAGCCCTGCCAGCTGCGTTCCTGGATCAACTGTTACTACGAGCCCGCCGCATCCAGCGCGGCACCCGGGAGCGAGCACGATCTCGCTTCTGCACCCAAGAAAGATCGCCCTCGTTGGGTCCATCTTTGCAGCATCTGCCGTTGGTGACGGCCTGCGCCGTCATTTCTCGTCACGGCCGCGGCCCCCGATTGCTCCGGCCAAGGCTCCACACGATATATTCCTCGTCCAACGGCGACCGTGTCTGCCGTCACCGCCAACTGCCCGCATAGCGCGCTTGATCGCCGCGCGCCGTCGTTGCCCGTACTCTCCAGCGTGTCGCCCGCCGCGCTCCGCAACTCGGCACGGTCGCCGTGCCGCTTGCCGTCGCCCCCACCGCCGCTCTCTCGCCGCCGCGCATTCCGCGGCCGCTGTCGCTCCCGCCACCGCGGTCCTCTGCGGTGCACCCGCACTCGCCTGCGCTCGCCGCGTCCGCGACCACGACCTTGACGACGGCGCGCCCGCGCCCGCGCCGGACGCGGCCGCCGTCGTTCCTGCGGCACTCGTGGACCCCCACGGCCGCACCTACTAGCGCGCCGACTTCGCCCAATTCGGAATCGACCATGGACCCGCCGCCAATACCCGCGCGCGAGTCGGATTCGCGGTCCCACACGCTTAATACGCTGCATACGATCTTGTCGCGGGTCGGGGTACTACAGCATGCCGGCGCCTGGTCGGCGACCTCGTCCGAGTCCGGGTCGCAGGCAGGGGATGATTCGTTTTCGGCGGTGACCGCGGATGCGCCGATGCCGCCGACGCTCGATGATTTGTTGACGGTGGCCTACTTGGGGTATGGGCTTCTGCAGGAGAAGGAGACGGTGGAGGCGCAGTTGGCCGAGGCGTTGGCAAGGGAAGCGCAGTGGATTGCTCAGGTACGTGTTGTTGAATTTCTCCTCGTGGTGTTGCTGTAAGTCGGAGTGAATCGGGTACTGATCCACCACGTAGCTCAACGACGCGCACTCGGCGCAGTCGGTTCTCGAGCGGCAACTGTCGGTCGCGCACGAGCGCGAGTCGTCAACCGTCGACGAGCAAGAGCAGCGCATCGACGCGCTTGCGACGACGCACCGGCGACAGGCTGACGAAGTGCGGCACTTGAAAGCCGAGCTCGACTCGCTCGTGCGGCAACACTACCACACGACCATGCAGCTCGCTGAAGCCGAGGACGCGCTCGCTACGCTCCGCCACGCCGAGCGCGACCTGGCAACCGCGCGCTTACGGCTCGCCAAATGTGACGCTGAACTCGCGCTCTTATCCGACGAGAATGCGGCGCTGAAACTCGAACTGTCGCGACACCACGACGCGCTCGAGGCCGAACGAACCCGGCTACTCGCGGATCTGCAGAAGGAACTCGAGGCCGAAAAAACCATGGCACTCGAAAACGAAATTTTGCGGTGTAAATTGCGCGAGGGCGAGGCGCGCGAGTTTGAACTCGCGCAGCAGATTGCCGATTTGACGCGCAGTTTGGACAAGTATGTGGATTTGCTCCAGGAGGCGCGCGACGAACTGGAGTACATTGAGGAACGGTCGAGCACGCGGTCTGACCTGGGCGTCGAGGACGCGTCGTTTGTCTCAGAAATGTCGCGGCTCGGGTATGACCCGGACCAATTTGGCCCGGTGCCAGTCGTTGGGGAACTGTTGAATATTCCGCCCGTGGGGCGGGACGTCGGCACGCAGACGGTCGAGTCACGCGTCAATTCGGATTCGTCCGAGGATGAGGACGACGAGGACGACGAGTTGGTCATGCACCGCGCGCACCCAGCCGCCGAGACCGATGTCTCGGACGTGTCGGACGACGACGAGCGCCGCAAGAGCGATAGCTCTGATGACCTCGTGTATGCCGCCGCGCGCCGGTCGGCGAGCCGCCGGTCAAGCCAGCGCCGACGCGCAAGACCGACCACAGCCATGCTGCTCGCGTCGTCGTCGGGCGACGGCGAGTCGGCGACGGCCCGCGTGCGCTACGAGGCCGATGCGGACAACCAGTTGTCGCTGTCGTTCCTGACATCGCTCTCCGCACGGCAGTACGTCCCAGGCATCGCGTCGCCCGTCTCGTCCAACGCGCCAAGCACCTGCTCCGACGACAGCCAGGCCGTATCGAGTCCCGCCGCGGCCGTAGCCGCAGCAGCAGCCGCGCGCGCGCGAAGCGCATCGACGGGCCCCTGGGCAACTCCACCGCCATCGCGCGGGTGGTCGACGCCGCCGCTGATCCCGGAAGAGGACGAGGACGGCAATCCGCGGTGGACGCTACCACCCGACATTGTCGCCGACGCCGCCGGCACGTCGCGGTCCAAGTCGCGCAATTCCGATCCGACCAGGCCGCGGTTCAGTATGGTGCGGAGTATGCTGCGTGCGCTCAACGCATTCAAGTCGTCGGCCGACCCGCCACCGTCGGCGGCCCCGGCGAAACCGCCCCCACCTCCACTGCCGACATCGCCGCTCCCGCCCATCACCCGCGACCTCGGGCCGTACCCGGACGAATCGATCCCCGCCAACCCGGCATTGTTACATTGGAAAACGCTCGCGTCGGCGCACGTTGCCGGTGGCGCACCACGGATGGCTGACCTGGTTGCGGCCGCCGCGCGGCACCGGGTTGCTGCGCGGTCATTATCGCGCGCGCCGAACCGGTCGGTCTCGCGCGCGCGTACGTCGCGACCGCCCGACGCGCACCGCGAGGCACGGCGGTCACTGTCGAGGTCGATTGATGC